GGGGGGGGGGGGGCGCATGGGTCGGTTGTGCGTAGCTCGCATTCAGGACGGTGGGGCATTTTGATGATGCGAGCAGTGCAGGACAGCATAGTCGGGGCTTTGAGACGAGCAGTGCCCCTCCCCCTGTGGGTATCGTGCCTATTCAGGTGCTCGAAACGACTCACACCACCATCATGATGTCGGACTCCCTGTATCTTCGTTGCAATTTGCTTCGTTGTCTTTCTTGTGTTGCAGCGTGTGCCAGAGGTTGATGCGCTGACCCCTCTCCCCTCGCAACCCGTCACAACGCCTTCCCCATTCACGCCCGGTACGTGAGACGCCGAGGCATGAGACGCAACTCGAGACACGTGTGCTTTGGCAGGTGCATCATGCCCAGCTTCGAAACCCGCCCTGAATCCTGAGGCTGACAGCGAGATGCACTCGCCCGCAGATTCTGAAGCACTTCGTGACTCGACACATACGCACAAGCGGCGTCCCCCAGGGACTCTTCCTCCTCCTTCAGGCGGCACTTCATCCGTCCCCCGGCCGTACAAAGCGGCTCTGCCATACCACTGCCTCGACGACGCCCTTCGGCCGAGAAGTCGCGAACCAAAGGTGGATTGCGGTACTCAGCAATCCCCGCTTGAGTGGCTGGCATCGTCGGTCACAGGGGCAATAAAGCGGGCGTTGACACCAGAGAGAAACAACAGGAAGTTGCGGCCGTCCAGCCGCAGAAGCAACCAGCACCCAACAGTTGAGAGGGGCTCTTCGCTTCCACCGAAGCTTCTGCCTGTCCGAGAGCCCTGGCACTATGCGACACCACAAAGGGGGAGGAGGAAGCCTGCCGAGTCTCCTGTACGGCCCCCCGTCACTATGGCGCCGCCCCCTGCCTCACTCGAGCCTCTACGCTTCTACACGCCCGGTAAGAGGCGTCAGGTGTCCCATGACATCGGCGCAAGGCGGGCGGCCCTTGCCCCTCTCCGGCAGAGGATGCTCGGGCCGCTTGATGTCACGCACAGGCGGATTGACTTGTGGCCGACTCTGGGTGTGGTTGGCGGGCGGGCAGACGGAAGGGCGCGTAGAGTCATGGCGAAAGGCGCCACAAGAGAGGATACGGCACCCCTGAAGCAGGTGCGGTGTGTGGAGGCTCGGGATCAGCCGCCGGTCGCGCGACAGTATGTTTCTTCTCGCCCCGTTTCGATGCCCCCAGAGGGAATCCCTCACCTGCCAGCGCCTGTCTCGACTTTCCTTCCGCCTTCTCGACCCACGATGTTTCGGCCCGGTCCATTCGTTGTCCCCTTTCGCGTGACGGCGTCCTACGCCCCACCAGCCTGCCTGTACCCTCGGCCTCCTCTTCCTTATCAGCCGATGAGCTATCTGCCAATGCCAATGGGTAGTGTTGGTGGTTCTTTTGTTGCTCAACCGCCCGTCTCCCTGACACACGCCTATCAATTGTATAGCCCTGGGGCTGTAGCAGCCTTCCCTGCAAGACGCAATGGGCCTTTGTCTCGTGAATGCCTTCCCCGTCCACCCATTGCGAGGAGACATTACCCCAGAGCAAGTGATCGTCCCGCGAGAATGGCTTCTATTGTGGAAGAACAAGTAGCCTCGCCAACCAATGACGAAGGGGAGGCAGCGACGGTCCATAGCCCGAGCTCCGCAATACCGCTGAGGGAGGAGGGAGGGCCAGCGGCAGGGGATCAGTCCCACCCCAACACAGCAGAGGCGTCTCGCGGGTATTGTCAGATATTCTCGTTCAGCAATCTGCATGTGGAAGTGGTGCACGGGGAGGATCAAGGCAAGAGTGGTGAGATGCTGCCAGGTGTCGATCACACTTGTGAGCACCAGCCCCTCAGCTCAATATACACTCCATCCTTCAGGACGCTCCCCCCATCAGGTACATATCGGCATGGATGGACGCACATGTCTCATTGGTCGATCAACGCCGAAAGCCAAAGCCCCCTGTATTTCTGATTCAATGCAGGCGAGGCAGCTGTCTCCATTCAGCAGCCTCCGGTGATTGAGAGGCCTGCTGCTGTCGACTCACAGCGGGCTGCACAGCGAGGGCCCCGTCAGTCCACCGCAGACACTGACGATGCCAGCCCCGATGGAGGGCAGGAGGGTGAGATAGACAGACATGGCAGATAGACACACACACAGCCCCATCAGACAACGGATAGGGCTCAGGGGGGCATCGACGGTGCTGCTGCTGGTGCTGCTGGTGCTGCAAAGAAGGTGGCCGTAGAAATGCATTGTCGTGCGGACAGTTCTTGACAATGGCTACACCAGCTGTCCCCAGGCTGCAGACCGACGAGTCTACACACCTCTCTCTCACGTACCTCACGTCAGTCCAGCCCTCTTATCTACAAGCCACACTGAGATCAGGACTGGAATCATAAAAAGCCTTCCTGCGTAATCGATGGATTCACCCTCACTTGGCCCCCGCGGTCACCTCCCCGCGCCCGTCAGATGCTCCCGAATCTTCGCCTCCAGCATTTCACGCACATCCTGAAAGCCGCACACGATGAATATGCAGGAGTGCCAACCAACATGACTACTGAGACAAATGCACCTGCTGCGGCATCCCCAGTGTGATGGCTGTGTCGTAGACCAGGATCTCCTTCCTTCTCGCGGAATCGTCTCTCTTGGTCGTGTGCACCTGTGGCTTGTTCCAAAAGGGCGCGAGCCACTGGGACAGACAATTCAGATAGACCTCAGTGGAGTTGGGAATCACCCGACTGCAGACAAGAGGGAATTGAGAGAGGCATGTTTATGACCGCGACGACCTCTTTGCGTCTTCGACCCACCTGAGTCCGCGTGAAGGTGTTGTGCTGAGCTGAGTCTTGACGGCCAGCAACTCGGAGAGACATAGCTGCACCCATAAAATACGCAGACACACAACCAATGGAGCATGGATCAACAAGCCGCCCCCCGCCAGCAGCCCTACCCGCGGCCCACGTGTCTCCTCGGGAGGGGCATTCATCCATTCGTGCTGCAGCAGCTCAGCCGCCGTCGGTCGCAGCGCAGAGTCGTGGCATAAGCACAGAGACAGGAAGTCTACAAATCCTGCACTGCAGCTCCGATTGAACAGCAAATCCTGCGCATGGGAAATACAGACAGCGCCAATGCGTTCGCAGTCTCTCCATGTCTCACAAGCCTCGACTGACCTTGATCGGGGGAATGCCTGGATGCAGCTGCACCGGCCCTTTCCTGGTCACTGGCAGGGCAGCAGGCGGCCTCGTGTCTATGTGCGGTACAGCGACATGTCGGCCTCCCCCATCCGAGGGCGCCCCGACAGGAAACGGGCACGTCGGTGGGGGAAAAGGCGTGCTGTCGATCATCTCAGATGTGGACACCAATGGGGGCGAGGTGGGCAGCGGCGCCTCACTAGCGATACAATCAAGAGACACATGCACTTCTCAGCAATTGTCACACTCATATGCAGTGTATTATGCACCTGTTGTCATCCCGTGACATCCTGGGATCGCTCAGGAGGCTGGTGAATCCCACGACGCTTCCCTGGTGCGATGGTGTGAAGGGTAGGGGGGTCGACGGGAGGGGCGGAGGCAGGGGAGGGGGTGGCGGCTGCTCGGCAAATGCTTCCTCCAGCAGGATGCCCATCGTCGAGGCCTTCTCGTCCAGACCGTCTCTGTTGACAGAGATATGACGGGCAGAGACATAATGAGGCATGTGTGGCCATCCTTGTGTGTACTTCTCGTCGAAGATCTGCAGTCGGCCCTTCCTCTGAGCTATCTCATACTCATCCTCTGCATCAAAGCGAAAACATTCAGAAGAAGAAGATCTATCCTACTTTCGTTCTTTCTCCTTCTCTCTCCGCTTACCCGACTCATCGTCGATTGACTCCTCCTCACCCGCCTCCTGCCTCTGAACACAAACACCCATCGACATCCGTCTTATCTCGTCCCGCCCGCCCACCCGCCAGCCGGCCGGCCAGGCAGCATTTTTTACCTCCTCGTCTTGCGCCTCGATGGCCACATAGTACTGCACCCCGTACTCGCCATAGGTGTACGACCGCCGCTTGCCAGACACATCAGTACCCATTGTGGAGGGCTGGGGATCCGACTGAGGCGACAGCTCGCCAGGCCGCTTGTTTTGCGGCCGGCGGGGAGGCCTGCAAATCAGTCGGTAAGAAGCTTGAAGACGATTGTTCATTTCTTTCTTTCTCGGCCGCCCACTTACGCGGGAGGGTGTCCCCCCTTGCTCTGTCTGCGCGCCTCCACCCTGAGGCTTCTTCCCCCCTTCCTGCTCTTTCTCTCAGCCTCAATCTGCGCCTTGAGAGGCAGGACCTTCGACACGTGGTGTAGCAACACGTCATACCCTCCCACAGCCGTTGCCAGCAGCAGCAGACCCAGGTCGAAGATGTCGACTTCATGAAGGCGGCCCATTGGGGGTGTCTGGGTCAGGTTGGACAGGCGGAGCGTCTGCATCTCGCTGGGCATGGGGAGGGCTGGCGCGGACGGGGAATGAGACATGGACAGCTGCTGTTGGAGCGAGCTGACATGATCCATCGCGCATTGAATGAAGAGGATGATTCTGTCTCGTCCTTGTTGCTGTGCTGACCTGTCTGCTGCACCTGGGTCGTCGGCATTCGGACCACCCGAGTGGAGTGAGTTTGGAGGTCCCGCCTGTCGATGCGACTTCTCGCCTTCTGACTCAGCCTCCTGCACAAGGCAGTCAAAGACGTGAATGATCAGCGCTCATTCATTTCATCCGAGGCATGCTCACAGCGATGTTTCGGACGGTGGGTCCCTTTGAGTATCTGTGCCTTCTGCGCGCATCGCCCACGGCCCCGGCTCCCTCCGCAGGCGAAGCGGCACTCACCTGCGCCGTGTCACGCGCTGTGCACATCATAGATAGAGACACAAAGCGACGAAGAGACACACATACAGTGGGTCTGGTCCGGCGTGTCCCTGCACCCAACCCACCGACTTACACTCTGTTTGCAGTGCAACTCGTGTTGAGAGCCCCAGCGAAAGCTTGCTGTTCGCCTTGTGGTCGAACAGCACCTGGGACGTTGTCAGGCCACCGTGCAGAGAACGGCACTCACGATGAAGCACGTCCAGAGCCTACACACCGAGAATCACAGAGCAATACTCTTTGCTTCTTCCCTTAGCGTACAGTGAGCAGCGGCAGACACAGCTCGCGCAAGCAGAGCTCGGGAAGGCCTGTGACAATGCAACAGCAGAGATAAAGAAAGAGACAGAGGGTGTGCCTTCAATCCCTCCACGGGTCATGCGTGAGCATACCTCCGACGACCTGGTTGAGCGCGTCAAGAGACCCGGCTTCCATGTACTCTGTGACGACCGACGCATGCGCCTCGGGCTGATTCACCGCCATGCCATGCACAGCTGGATGACGGACAGATCAATGAAGGTACACAGACAGACAGACAGACAGACAGACAGACACAAGGACCAATGATTGAGGAGGCGTGCAGGCACTTGATTGACAGTATGGCGTTTGTGCAGTCAGCCAGTGTTTTCACCTGACCGATGAACGCGGGCGAGAGCCTCTGCAGGTGCTGCCACTTGCTCACCCAACGAGAAAGGCTCGCCCTGAACGAGATGATTCATTGATCCATCGAGATCGACCACATCAGCCATGTGTGCTTGACCTCAGTTCCCTGGACACGAGAGGTATCTCACTGACGACCAAGATGCTCAGACTGTGCGGGTGAAGCATCTTCTTCATGCGGTAAGAACGACCTACATGCACACATTAACGGACAGACAGACAGACAGACAGACAGACACAGAGAGAGAGGGGGGATGTCGGTCTCATCGTGTGTGTCTGGCTAGCCTCTGCTCATTCACTCTTCTTAAATAGTGTCCCGATGAAGACCATCTCGTCCAGGTTGATATCCGGCGCAGCCGGCTGCAGCAGGATCACCGGTGGCCCCGCGTCCCTTTCCCTGTCGTCTGTTGTCCTCATGGCCATCCCTCCTCCCTCCCCCAGATGCTGCTGCATCTGCTCACGACGATGAGCGGTCTTCATCCGACAAACAAACAGCAGGCGACGGAGCAAGGGGCAGAGACAAGCATGTCAGCATTCACTCAGTCTTTGCTACCATCTTTATGGGCGTGAGTAGCTCTGCCGCGTCTTGATACCTCGCCCTATCCATCGCTATCCGCATGTCGATGCTGCTGATGGGGATGATCCCTCCGCCCCTTCCCGCAGCAGCAGTGTCCCTGCCGATCTCCCTGGTGGTGTCCCTGCCCGCAGCAGCCGGATGTGGTCCAATCTGCCGTGGTGGGCTTCGCTCGTGCCGCAGCCTGGGGTGCGATTGAGGCTGAGGGTAGGGTGAGGGGCGGGGAGGCCTGCGGTGGGGCTGGTGAGGCGACTCGCGACGCCCTGCCTGTCGTGTCACCATCTCATGCATGCACTTCCCTTGATTCCGCTGCTGGTCCCATGGATTCTTAAGACAGCTCGACGCGTCGAGATCGCAAAGGCGCCCCCAAGGCCCCCAGTCTCTGAAGAAAATGGCTGAACAAAGCCTGGAGGACTTCTGCGTGCCCATATTCGATGAGCTGGGGGTCACTCAAAAGGAGCGGACGGTCTTCACCCGGGCGCTCCGGGCGCTCTGCGTCAGAAATGTGCGAACCCTCGCCGCTGCCGTTCCGGAAGACTTGGCGGCTCAGAAGCTGCCGATAGTCGTCGTGCGGGAGCTGTGTGCCCGGGGGAAGGATGCCGTGGCCACTCTGTCCCCGGTTGGATGCACCAGTGCGCCTGGTGGTGTGACACATCGCGAGACACCGAAGGAGAAAAAAGAAGGTAAGCACACAGAGGGGGGGGGGGACGCAGCGCTGGCTGGCAACCCTCTGGCTGTGTGCGTGCAGACACTCTGTTCCATGATTGCAAAGAGTCTGAAAGCCCCAAGGAGTCTCAGACGTGTTAGCAAAATCAATCACCGATGTCTCGCGCACATACGCACTCACCTGCGTGCCTGCAGCTTGTGCCTGCACGGTGACAAGGTCAGCATCAGCACCCTCCATCCACTCTGGGGACGGCGAACAGAACGCCCCTCCAAGAGAACAGACCACGGCCGTGAATGTGACCCCCAGCCCCAGACCTCCCCCTCCGTGGCTACTCCCCACTGCCGACGTGTTCAGCACTCAGTCGCTGACGCAGCTGTTTATCGCTTTTGTGACTTCGCCTTATATGCAGACATGGTCGAAGGTGGTAGTTTCGATATCTGTGTTCGCGTGGCTAGTGTGGAATACTCAATTGAGACAAATGCACGGCGGGGACGGAGGGGGCAAGTGAATGGAATGGATGGATGGATGGACGGACGAGTGAATGGCGTTCCTCGTTCAGGGAGTAGACAGGGTTGAGTCTCTAGATACACACACATCCCTCTCTAAATCCCCCTCACGGCGACCAGAGATACGGCCTCGGCACGGCCATTAGCCCATGCACACGTAAGCACACAGACGCCCACGAGCAGAAAACAGGCGCGGCACGAGCTATCTAGCAACAGCCAAGGGGCTCCGGTCATCCCTCCATGAATGGAGTGAATGCATTCTGACTACACTGCTCCTCTCGCACCCTTCCATCCACACAGGCAGGCAGGCAGGCAGGCCGTCGCTGACCGCCATCACCCGAAGTGGATGGGTTTCCCGTGCGCGGCCATGCAAGCCTCCTTGACGGCCTCCGACAGCGTCGGGTGGGCGTGGCACGTCCTGCGGACACACACAGACAGACACACACAGACAGACACACACAGACAGACACACACACACGCACACCATGTTGCCAATCTCTTCCTGTCGCTCACCCACCCACCCAGCCATTGCCCCGCCCACCCACCTGGCGACATCTTCGCTTGCGGCGCCATATTCGATAGCGAGAACCATTTCGGCAATGAGCTCTCCTGCGTTGGGCCCTATCATGTGTGCGCCGATGACCTTGTCGCTCTCGGCCTCAGTGATGACCTTAACCAGCCCCTCGCTGTCGTCGTTGGTGCGCGCCCGTGAGTTGGCGGCGAAGGGGAAGGAGCCCTTCTTATAGGCGATCTTCTGCTCCTTGCACTGCTCCTCCGTCAGACCCACGCCGGCCACCTCGGGGTGCGTGTACACCACACCTAAAGCAACACACACACACGAGATGCATCCATCATGCGATGGATGAGGGAGTGTCTCTGTGTGTGTGTGTGCCTGGTATTGCGTTATAGTTGACGTGTCCGGCGCCCTGGCCGGCGATGAGCTCCACGGCCGCGATGCCCTCCTCCTCGGCCTTGTGGGCCAACATGGGCTGCATTCATGGCACATATGAGACGTGTGCCGATGAGGCGCTACGTGTGTTGGTGGGTCTGTATGTGGTTACCCCCACAATGACGTCACCGATGGCCCTCAGAGAGGGGAAGTTGGGCACCTGGAAGGTGTGGGGGTCAACATCCACACGACCCATCTGACATACACACACACACACACACACACACAAATACACACAAATGTGGCCAGTTGATCTGGTCGGTAAATGTCAGCATCTCGGAGAGTGCACGTCCCTCCTGACCTTGTCTTTGGTGACGCCGAGTTGCTCGAGCCCCAGGCCCTCGGTGAAGGGCACGCGGCCGACGGACAGCAGGATCTTGTCACACTCAATCTGACATACATCGATGGATGCGTGTACGAATGTGACGCAACAGAGTAACCGTCGGTCAGTGCCCTCCCCTCTCTCACCTTGGATTGCGCGCCGCCCTTTGCCGGCTCTGCGAAGTAGCGAGAGAGGGTGACACACAAGCACGAACCATGCAGTCTGGTGTCACCCACCTGTGATGACTGTTGCTCCGTTCGCGTGGACCTCCGCACCGACCACCTTGGTTCCCAGGTGGAACTTCATGCCCTAGATGAGATGAAGAAAACACACACACACATATATAGAGATACGCGTGCGTCCTTCGCTGCTCACCTGTTTCTCGAGCGTCTTCTGGAAAGCCTTGCCCACCTCGCCGTCCTGAAGAATGGACACCACTCACAGCTGCCACTGCCTCCCCCCTGCACCTGCCACCACTCACTCACCAGTGTGCCGGCGATTTTGTCAGTGAATTCGACCACTTCGATCTCGGCCCCGAGCCTGCCCCAGACGGAGCCCAGCTCCAGCCCGATGTAGCCGCCCCCCACCACCACCATCTTCTTGGGCACGTCCTCCAATGCGATGGCACCTGTGGACGTCAGGATGGTCTTCTCGTCAGCCACCAGGGACCCGCCCGGCATCGGGGCGGGGTCAGATCCCGTCGCGATGATGATGTTCTTGGCGGACAGCTGCTTCGACTGAATATACATACATACACACATACAGGGGAGAGAGGGAATATGGCTCGGTCCTTCGCTGTCTTACCCCTCCCTCGTTGAGGTCAACGGACACCTCTGTGGGCCCTGTCAGCTTGCCCCAGCCCTGATGACACAATACCACCATCCACACATGATATTGACACACAATCGATTCACAGACATCCATGTGCACATGTCCCGCTGGCTACCGCTCCCTCTCTCCGTCCCTTTCAGCTGTGACCTTGATGTAGTCGACTTTGTTTCTCTTGAACAGAAACTCGATGCCACCGGTGAGGCCCTTGACGGACTTCTCCTTCTGTGCCATCATCTTGGCAACGTCGAAGGCAGGATTGTCGAAACTGATGCCCATCTTGGCGTAGTCATGAAGCATCTCCTGAGAAACAAAGAGAGAGAGGGAAAGCGATTGACCATTCTGTCCTCCATCTGCAGGATGACGCGCCTGCCTACATGGTATTTATGTGAGATGTTGAGCAGCGCCTTGGATGGGATGCATCCGACGTTGAGGCAGGTGCCGCCCAGGGCGCCCCGCTTCTCCACACACACCGTCTTGAGTCCCAGCTGGGCCGACTTGATGGCCGCCACATACCCGCCAGGCCCGCCGCCTATCACAGCCACGTCGTAGGCCTCGCTCGCGAAGCCACGCGACGCATTCTGGAAGGCACGGTGGAATGGTGGTGATTGAAGACCTGAGCGCCCTGATCTCAGCATCATGGCATCAGCGCGCGGTGAACGTCAAAACGTTGAGCTTGCAGTGCGACTGAGCTCGCACATGCATCACGCCCCCACGCTCTTCGTAGAGATTCCATCCCGTTCCGGTGCGTCGAGTGATTCTGAATCTTTCGTCAAAACCATCCATCCATCCATCTATTCATTCGGTTCGACGTCCCCGAGCGCTGAGCCCCCGTCTCAACGCACAAGAGTCACAACAGGCAAGCGGACAGACAGACTGACAGCTGCAGCAGGCGTGACTGAACGACTTCCTCTTTGCTGTGTGTGTCCCTTGGTCTGTCTTTTGTCTGTCTGTCTGGGATGAGTGCAGAGATGATTGGCCGTTCTGCGTGTCTCGCCCTGTGTGTGGCCGTCGGTGCCATCGCCCTGTGCGTGACGGCCACCACTACGCATCGCCAGCACATCGACACAGCTTTGCACCAGCACGGTGAGAAATCGCAGCTTTCACACCGGCACCCATGCGTGAATCAGTCAGCATTGCAATGTGCAGTTCCCTCTGCTCGGCTATCGGCACTTCTGAAGCGACACGCCGGTAGGTGACTGGACAGACCGGAGCCTCGCACATACATACAGTCCATTTTATTTGGCTTGTATTGCTTTCTTGCCCGATATCAAGCCATACAAAATGGATGGATGGATGGATGTGTTGCGTTGTGTGCAGCCATGGACGCCGACCAGCCTTTGGGCGCTGCCGCCATCCACGCTTCCCGCTCCCGCGTGCGCACGCCCATCCATCCTTCCATGCCACATCTGTCTGTCTGTCTGTCTGTCTGTCTGTGTCTTTCCTGGGTCTCCGTGTGTGCTTTCAGGGTGGAAAGGTGGTGGATGGGTCATATCGTCCAGCGGATAAAGATGATAGCTACAGTGACTTCCGTATACCAACGAAAGCGGAACGCGAAGAGAGAAAGCGGGAGAAGCAGAAGGAGAAGCAGTGGCGTATGCTGGCAGATAGACAGACAGACAGATGACGTGCGTCAAATTGACATGTTTCTCTGTCTGTCTGTCTGTCTGCGTGGCTGTCTGTCTGTTACGTATCCCCGTGGCTTCAGGCGAGTGTAAGGACGACGACGAGTGCACGGAGAAGGGCCAATTCTGCTACAAGCACGTGTACAGCCAGGAGTTCCTCCACACGCACTCCGTCGGGATATGCAAGGCAAGCGAAAGATAGAGGTCAAGAAACCCCCTCTCTCTGATTGCTTGACTGCACGGTTGCAGGCGGCGGGCGAACATTGGGACACCGGGTGCGGCAAGAAGTTTGCCTGGTCCGAGAAGCACCCCTGCAAGGCCGGCCTCAAGTGCAAGAGAAAGACCTACACCGCATGGTCTTGGGTCGTCCCTTTCGCGCCCTCCCTTGACGTGACAACGCGTCACGTCTGCGTCAGGCCTTACGAGTAGTTAGCAAGCTCGCCAGCCGAAGGGCCAAACACCACACCACACAATTAGCTGGCACACTGTTAGCATAATCACACGGAGGGGTGACACTACCTATATGTGTCTCCGCTGCCTGTCTGTCCGTCTGTCTGTCTGATGGGTGGATGGATGGATGTGTTGGCAATCGATAGCTGATTTAATTTAACACACACTCACACACACACACACACACACACGGACGCCCGGTTTCTGTTTTCTTACATCCATCGGTCGGTGTATGGATTTTGGACGGTCATGATGGACAGGCCAGCTGTGGTTAACCGACGGCATTCGTCAATGAATTGTGCAGCACAATGTGCATGTGCAGCTCCACACACACCGTCTTGAGTCCCAGCTGGGCCGATTTGATGGCCGCCACATACCCGCCAGGCCCTCCGCCTATCACAGCCACTTACTTACCCCCCATGATTGAGTTGGTGATTTCTCGGCTGTTTCTCCTCCTTTTCGAATGAGCGAGCGTGTATCGGACTACACCCAACCCCCTCCACCTACCCTCATCCCGCGAGACGGCGGCGGGCCCCCCTGTTGCGCATGCAACGAGAAAGGGACGTCTGCGCTGT